GTATGTATTTTAATATACATGTAGATATTTGTATATTGGTAAGTACATATGTATGTAAATTTTTTCAAATAGGAAAAATAATACTTTCAACCACAAACCAATATACATACATATGTTTCATATACATATATAAATATATGTATATAATAGGTATATAATTACACTCAAGCTACTTATGTATGTAATCTCTAATGTAAATATACATATAAGCTTACAAATCCATTCCCTTCGAACTCTATTATATGGCCCTCTTGAAAGTCCACAAAACAGTAATTTGTAGCCAACACACCTATGGTGTAAGTCTACATATGTTACTAACACAAACATATACACACATACATATCCACGAGATTATGCCAAGTGCAAGTGAATATTCCGGAATTTCGCTCATTGAGTTGGATTAGTCGTGATTAAAGTCGTAATTTTCTCAACCGTTTAGCGCATACATACATACACGAATAGTTGTAGGCGCTTTGCTGCGCAAAAAATAATATGCATACAAGTATACACTTGTGGACAGAAAAATAGGTATAATTTTGTTAGAAAAAAATCCTTTCACAGTTACATTTCTTAAAGCATAAAAGGCTATACAAAGATTTGTAGCTTGATTTTGTTCGGTCAGTTTGTATGGTAGCTATATACTCTAGTAGTCCGATCTGAACAGTATTTTTGGAAATTGTAGCTTTGTCTTATTATATTCAGTAAAAACACTTGATTCCGATCATTCAGTTTGCATGGTAGCTGTATACATATATGATTTAGTGGTTTATTATCGGCGGTTCCGACAAATGAGCAGCTTATTGGGTATAAAAGAACGTATTCAAAATATATACAGATAGATGGACAACAAGCGGTGTGCTTAATGTGGGTAACTGTTGACGAAAGCCTTAGCCCACGGCGCTGAAAAAGCCAAGCATTTTTTAGTACCAATTGGCAGTGTGGAATGGACACACCATTCATATATGAGAAGCTAAGCCTAACGCTCAGTTAAACACCTTCGTAGTCTAAACAATTCACGCGCAAACGACCCTAACTAATCGAGGTTCCGAATAACAAAACATCTATCAGTCCAGCAGATCCCCATACCACCCAGATTCCTAATGTCGGTATGCATTAGGTATTCTGCAATAATATGCACCCAATTCTCAATCCGCGCAAACACCCGACTTATCAGATAGGAGACTCTGATGCAAAAATGCATTCAGAGGCCCATGTTCAGTAAGTAGAAAATTCAGCGCCAGACAGAATCCGAAGTTGGGGCTTATCTGAACATACCTATTGCCTCTAACGTACTCGTAAGTCATCCGACCGTTAGCGCTATTGTCTCAACGGTCTTGCCACCTACATCTGACTCTATCGTCTAGAAACCTCTTGCTACATAGATATCTCTCTCTCTCTCCCCGTCATCATCGGAAATCCAATCATTCCGTAGCAATAACACACTAAATCCCTTTCGTAACCATAATGCAACAGGCAATCAGGTCAAGAGGGGAGAACAAATCCTGCATCGCATCCGTCGAAACGGTGTAACAGTATGCAGTTTTCGTAATAAAAGTTCAATTTCAGTATAACAAAGGGCAAGTTTAAGTTCTCCTAATATTTGTTCTGTATTTAAAAAAAATTTTTTTTATAACTTTATATTGAAAACAGATTTGTACACATTTCTCTGACGCCCAGTGTACCTATCTATAATACACATAAGCATAAAAAATGTTAAACGCGTAATTTGTTTTAAGATTATTCAAAGTGTTGTTTTTTTTCACAGTTAATATTGTTAGTAAATACACCATGCCTTTTTGTTCATATTTTTCTTACAAAGCATTCGATAATTGCATTTTACTTGTAGGAATTTTTCACGCTTCTTGTTGAGGAAATTATTATAATTATGTATTTGGAAAAAACAAATTGAATGCTCGTTTATGCATACATCGCAATTATCATTTTTGGAATACTTTTAATATTATTCGTCATGCAAGTTCAGCACAATTTTCATCAAAACCGTTAATTAATGTTCTTAATCGATTAGGGTAGTGGGAGTTTTTTATTACAAGTTCCAAAGTAAACAGGACTTTAACAGAAAAAATGTTTTTTTCGGCAAAATCAATTTATTTTATTCAAAATAGTCTCCTTCTGCTTCAATACAGCTTTTTGCATGTCGAACGAGTGTTTTAGCCCTTTGACCGATAGTGCCGCCAGTATGCCGGTACAAGCCCGTTGAATGGCCACTACGTCTGCATAACGCTTTCCTTTAATGGGCAAATGCATTTTTTCGAAAAGGAAGAAGTCGCACGATGCCATATCAGCTCTGGTCAATGGTTACAATGTGATTTTTGGTCAAATAATCGGTCACAATCGGTCCTTCGAATGTTGGATTCTGAGCAATTTTTGGTCGTCAGTCAATTTATGCGGAACTAATCGTGCAGACACAAAATGTTCGGCCGAAATGCCATGAATTTCAATGATGATTTCGGTTGATTTTTGATGAATTCACGCACAGTTTCGGTGGAATCGCCATCCTTACGACCACTTTGAAAACGTTGAAACCACTCGTGCACTCTGCTACGGGATAGGCAATCATTCGCCATAAACTTGTTTCATCAATTAAAAGGTTTCCGTAAAAGTTTTACGAAGTTTAAAACAAAATTCTATGCTGGCTCTTTTTTCGAAGGTCATTTTCGCCCCGATAACACAAATATACTGACACTTAAAATCTAACTACTTAACCAATCTATGAAATGTCATGAAATTCTTACTGGACATTCGGTAAAGATAGTAGATTCTAACGCACCAGTCGATATATAGGTGGCGCCACCAGGGGGTGCTAAATTCAAAATGTCCCGTTTTTCTTTGGAACGCACCTTGTACGCATGTTTTCAATTAAAAAGTGCTCTTTTCGGAATAGTTCGTTTAGATAGCTGTTAAGTTATTTTTACTCAGTTTGGCTTGCCGTATCCTGATGAAAATACTTAGAAACGAATCCCATTTTCACAATATAGGTTTTTCATCGATGAAGCTCAATTTTAATTAAATAGGTGCGTTCATAAAAAAAAAATTCCCATTTGGAATTACAATAATCCATAGGCCATTTGTCAATTTGTGAGAAGGAAACTTTTGGTTAGGGCTCCAAGATCGCGAGTTAACACTACTAGAATATTTTTTGTGGAGTTATATAAAATTTCTGGTTTGCGGCCGAGCCGACTGACGCTTTGGAAGAGGATTATAACGCTTTTGTCCCATCGATTGGGAGACAAAGGTCACAATGCTTCGCCCGTAGTCTCTTATCACGAAGACATAAAGATTCTTTCGTGCTCTTTTCTACTCATTTTAGTAAGATATTTGAAATACATCATCCTTACGATGTTTCGATATTTATCTGGTCTTCAGTATTATGATCGGTCATGCATTTTTCACTGGATTAACAACCATTATTTGTTTTCATAACATAATATTTTACAGACCTTTAACCAAAGCGGTTCAAAAACAATTTGGACTATCTCTTTATAACCGCCGTCTTACTGGATTGTGAGATCTTCTTCAGGATTGACATCATGGTCTGTTTAGAAAACTTTCTGAAAATATCTTACATTTCGTATTCATATCACTTTTCTTTACAGAAGAACATTCCTTTTTTTCCACAAAAAGGAGCCCAACTTGGTACGAAACACCATCCTTACTTTTTCACCTTGAAATTTGGGGAATTTATTATTCTGAAGGAGAGATTTAAGTGTGCCGTGTCTGTGATGGTGAAATTAGTTTGTAACCTTACAGTGTCTAACGAGGCTGATATCATATTCAAAAATTAAATCCTAAGTATAATCCCTCGGATTCTTGTACCGACAAAACCGTGTTCGCCTTTATTCGTAAATAAAATTTTTACTGTACTGAATAGTTTATTATATGAATAATAGTATAAAATATATACCACAGCAACGCGTTGCCGGCTCCCCTATTATAATATATATTAAACTGAACCAAATGGATTATACCTGCATATATCCCAACTCTACCTCGCTTCCATATAGAGGATTTTATAGTATGTATTGGCCAATCTTGGAGTTATCGCAATAAAATTGGTTAATATTTTGTGAATACAAATTTTTATACCAATATTTATATATAAATGATAAGTTTATTGAGCTGAGTCGATTTAGCCATGGCCGTCTGTCTGTTTGTCCATCCGTCGGTCCATCTGCCTGTATATATACGAAATAGTCCCTCAGTTTTTAAGATATCGTTTTGAAATTTTGCAAACGTTATTTTCTCTTCAAGAAGTTGCTCATTTGTCGGAACTGCCGATATCGGACAGCTATAACATATAGCTGCCATATAAACTGAACGATCGGAATCAAGTTCTTGTATGGAAATATTTCACATTTAACGAGATATATTCATGAAATTTGGTGTGAGTTATTGTTCGTAGAGAGTATGTAACATCAAAAGAAATTGTTTAGATCGGCTTACTATAGCATATAGCTGCCATACAAACTGAACGATCGGAAAAAAGTTTTTGTATGGAAAACTTCATGTATGTATATATTTTGATTGTCTGGAACTGGTACCCATTGCTCAATTTTCCAATAATAATACTTTTTGGAAAGAACTCATCACATACTACAATGCAGCGATCCTAAAATATATGACTTTTCCCCATTATGTTTCTATTTTTACAACATTCAAACGCAATTAGACGTGTACAAATGGCGCGTGCATAACCATAGAAACACCCGTATATGGTATAGATTATTTTCTAAAGCAACAATGTAATCTCCGAAAAAATTGTTCAGATCGGATTACTATAGCATATAGCATCCATACAAACTGAACACAAAGTTACTAAAAGAAATGCACCTGTGAAGGGTATATTAGCTTCGGTGTAGCAGTAGTAGAAGTTAACGTTTTTATTAATATTATTTAAATCCATGAGCAAAGTTATCATATCCTAAAAAGAAATGTCGGTAATAAAGTGCTCTCGCTCCATTCAAATGTTTTTTATATGATAAATGCAGCAGCTGGTTTGCTATGCGTCATTGAGCACAATTTTATTGTGAGCAGTCGTGGCCGAGTGGTTAAGGCGTCTGACTCGAAATCAGATTCCCTCTGGGAGCGTAGGTTCGAATCCTACCGGCTGCGTTAATTGCCGTTTTTTACTGAATTTTTTTATATTCTAAATTATCTTTTTAAATATTTTTTTTATTTCTATATTTTATCAGTAATAATTTTCCAACACACTGTTCACAGCTTTTCCATAAAATACAGATTTTTGTTCTAAATTACCATTACCGTTTACTTGYATACCGTTATAGTATACCTGGTATCACAAATATATCATTTAACCGTCTTCCCTAATATTACATACTTTGTCTCGTTACATTTCCAAAACACTATATTAAACATTTATCATTTCTTGGCGCGCTTGTCGCCTGTCATTAGTGAAGTCCATACCAATTAATTTGACATCATTTATGACGTGAAACTACGCTTGCTTTGGATACCTAAATGTCGATTACTTGATCGCCTGATAAGGCCAGACATTCATAGCCAATTATGCATATAACTTATATCGGTTATACGTGGACTTGTATTAGTAATTGCTGAAACACACCTTGTTAATGACTTTTTTAAGAAATAGTTATTTCCTCTCTATTTTTATGAATTTTGCATTGAAGATTTGATTGTACTACCTTAATTAAACTAAAGAATATATAAAAAATGTGCGYGCGTAAAAGTATGCTACGTTTTAGTGTAATATATTTGCTTTTCGCAGCTTTTCGGCGCTGAAGTCGGTTATAACTGCTTCAGTGAAGATTTTATTATGTAGATATAATATTTACATATATACTTCTCACCCTTTAAAACTACAAAATTTATTTAAAAAACCTTAATTTTTTTTTACAAATTTCGGAATAAATTTTCTATTTATATCCTTTTTTGATCTTCTTCACCTTCCAGTTTGGGCATTGGTCGCGCTCACTTCGAGAAACAGCCGCCGAGTAATTTACGCAAATCAAACTTTTTCCACTTCGTCATTGCGTTGTACGATCGTGCCGGTCAGCCGATTGAAATCGAACGTACCGCATTTATTGGTTTTATCGAAAAGGATTCGGAATCGGATGCGACAAAAACAAATAATGGCATACAATATCGGCTGCAGTTGCTCTATGCGAATGGTGAGTAATGAAACTATTCATAATATACATATAAATATGTTTAAATTATATAATAAACTAACCTATAAAMATTTAGAAATTTTCCAAAAAATATATTTTTTTTACTAGAAGAGGTTAGGTTCACTTATTGCTATATTCGTACATATATTCTTCTGTGAAATTTGTGCCACTGACGGAATTTTTTTTATAATTTTGAGGATTTTAAAACGAATTTTTTATACATACTTAGAGTATACTTTGATTTAATTGTTCTTGTTTCACTTTTTCGCACTCCGACTCTCCTGCTCTGTCCGTATTTTTGACGAACTAGTGTCTGAGTTTTTGAGTTATGGATTTATTATTTTGCATACGTCATTTGCTCTCCGCGAGGCTGCTTATTTCTGAGAACCGTTCATATCGGACCTATAGCATCTATTTTCATTGAGGTTTTTTTTTACATGGCCGGTTCCAAACCCAGCGCACAACCCTGGGGAGAGATGTTTCGCCTTCTCACTTTAGCACGCCTTCAAATTAATGTTTTTTGTTTACCGTTTACCCAGAGGATACTTGGTCTAAGACCAGAAGTCKTGAGCTGCTTGAGCCATATGTAAAGGAATCGTTTGTGGCCACTCCCAAGTGAATGGCGCTCAGAGAACTTACCTCACTCGCGTGAACTTCTACATAAGGCTCCATCTTCACTTGGAGTTTCCAATTACCGTCAAACAGTAAAAATAAAGAATGTCTGGCACGCCATTCTAAACCCGATGATAACCGTCATGTAGTATATTTTTTAAAAAATTACTTTAAAAAATGTTGGTTTATATTTTCATAAAATTTATTGTTATTTACTCTACTTTTCGCTCTCTTCTTTTAAACAGGTGCGCGTCAAGAGCAGGACATATTTGTGCGACTCATCGATTCGGTGACAAAGCAGGTAAGGCCGTTAAAGTTAGAATGATTTAAGTGTGAATATAGAGTGGATTGATAATGAAAAAATTCAACAATATAGCGAATTGAAGTTTAAAAATTTAAATTTTKRAAAAATAGCATGCGAKAWAAWTYMAAGAAKTWATTCGAATATGCTAGAATGATTTCAGCGTGATATATAGCGAATTGAGAATTTAAAAAATTAAAGAAACGAAGTTTTAAAAAATCGCGTGCGAGAAAAATGGAAGAGTGTATTRAAGTTAGATGATTCATCGTAATTATATAATGATTT